CAGACCATGTGTACAGTCTTTTTCTAGCTAGCTGGTTCAATGAAACAGGGATATTTTCTCCATTCTTGATTTGTTCTATTAGAAAATTTATTTAATCTGTTAATACTATAATATATCCTTAATATGTGAGGGTAAGATTTCTTTCTTTACATATGTATTTACTTTAGAATTTCATTTCTGTTGACCACCTTTTTGGCATCGGTCACTTGCACGATCTTGTTACTTTTGTATTTTGTAGATCGATTTCTTTTCTTGGATGTTCCACCATTGTGTTGATGAATGATCACATCATGCATTTTACTTGGGTTCGTTCCTTAATTCACCTGAAGGATCATCCAAAAAACTCGATGCACAGAAAGAACTGCTTGATATACTGACCCATCGCGTGCATGTAGATAATAGTATAAACCTCATAGGAAAGCTTCTCTTTGGATTAGAGAAAGGCATACAAGTCCTTAGTGCAGTTCCAAAGACAGGGCATCCTTTTGTCGACGATTTGGCCTGCCTAGAATCAATAGTAATTTTCTTGAACTTCTATTCAAATTTCTCTATCTCAAGATTCAGTGGTTTCATTTAAGTATGATTTGCATTTCCTTCTCCAGATTCGAATTTTTGAAACGCATTGTGGATCTCTATCTAAGTATGGCATGAAGCACATTCACTCTTTAGCTAACATTTGTAATGCTGGCATCAGCAATGAGACAGTGGCTAAGGTGTCTGCTGAAGTTTGCAGCCAGTTTCCGTCCACTCGACCGAGTTCTCTTCATAGAGGATTCAGTGCCTGAAATGGGTTATACCAAGGAAGGAAAGCACAATCTCATGCTTGTTAGTGGCTATCTTCGACAGTGTTGTAAATAGAAGTTTGGTATGTGTATGTCTCATTTCTGTTAAAAATGTATGGCAAGTTTTCCCATATTGAGGATCAAGTATAGTGCCGCTACTTTATCAAAAGTTCTTTCTTGAGTTTCTTGATATCTGGATCTAATCACAAGGGATTTTTTACATTTTTTATTGCTTCCTGATTTGTTCAGTGATATATATATATATATATATATACTACTATTATAAAAGGGGCTTGAGTTTCCTTCCTCCCGTAAATTTTATTCATCCATTCTACTTATTTTTTAATTATCTTGCTCATCCATTCTATTAAAAATATTTAATAAATCAAAAAATTCACATCTATACTATCTATACTACTATATAAAAGTGGCTTGGGATTCCACTCATAACAAATCTTGATCGTTCATCTATAACTTTTAAATTAATCTACAACGTTCATATATGACTATTCAAAATCTATCATTTATCAGCAATTAATAATGCTATTAATCGGAATTTTTAAAATTGATTTCAAACAATTAGTTCCGGCTCTTTATCTCATATGCCTAATTTAATTAATAAATCCTTCTTAAAACTGCATTAATGTTCTTTTTACCTAATTCAATATTGGATTCTTCTTTTGAAATACAGGAGTAAACCCAAGCGCTAACCCTTCGTATTCCCACTTTCAACCCTTCTTATTCCAATTTTCAAATATATATTTGGCAACCCTTTATATGCACTTTCCCGTTCCCCTTGCTCGCATAACTTACCCGCCTGCTAGCGTACCCCTTTGGCTTCTTATTTCGTGGCGTGGGAACCCGCCTATTTCAGTTGAGAGAGGTATAAATCTTCTTATTCTTAATTTTTTTTTGTCTGTTTGAGGTCTCAATCTTATTTTTTTTTTTTTTGTCTGTTTGAGGTCTCAATCTTATTCTTCTTACATCAAAACTGTTTGGAGAATTAACCACTTTGTGATTCATCACCTCTGAATCTTAATATTTTCAAATCAAAATTAGATTTTTTTTTTGAATGATTCAAAAACAGTAAATTCTAATGGATTTTTTTTATTGAATCAAATTTATCTAAATTTTTTTTCTATCTTTTTCGCTTATATTGTCTATATTAAGTGAAAAAAAACTTAATTTTTATATATTTTATCAATTAAAAATATTTCAATTAATTATTATTTTTAAAAGTTAGTTATCTTAAAAAAACTAAAATTTTAAACATTTTATCAAATGAAAAATTTAATAGTCAAATTTACGCGAGCTCAATAGTGAATATTTTACATGTTATAGATAATCAAATTTTCATTCATCTTCACAAACGGCATATATAAGACGGCTTTATACGCTCATTAATTTTGTTTGATTAGTTATTTATTTTTTTCATTACCACATGCATAACTTTGAAGAGTGCGGATCGCAGGAAGGATGAAAGCTTTGCAGGAACAAAATTAAGGGCCAGGGACTCAGGATTACAGGAACCCGCTCAGGGCAACAATATCCATCAGGGCCAAGCTCGAGTGCCCATAAGAAATCGATCCGATCATAAGAGGGTTACCCCGGTTGCCAAGAAGTAGCAGCCCAAGACGGATAAGCAGGGTGCAGATGAATCATGCCAGGCTAAATTGCAAAACCGCATGAGAAGCAAGCATTGGCCATCCAGAGGGTAACGAGCGGGTTCCACTCATCATCTCCCCGTAATACCCAATGAATCCACAGCTCCGTTAAAGCAAGTAGGGAATGTAGCACGGAGCGCCTCAGAGGATTTCCAGTTATAAAATTTGAGAGAAATAGCCCAGATAATCTTTTTAAGCAGCTCAGGATGAGTCATAGTAAAGCCAGAAAATCCCGCTCATTCCGTTCTCTCCACAAAAAGTAAATGACACAGCAAACTACAAAGTAACAAAAATTCTTCTCCACCACATTAAAAATTCAAATTTCATCCAGAAATTCAAAAAGCTACAGAAGTGAAGGTCTAAATAGAAAGCAGTTAAGGACCGGTAACAACCCAGCGAGCACATCGAAAGAGAAGTCACATAGGAAGAATAAGAGCATTCCTCTTCCCGTAAACATAGAGGGCAAGTGGAATCAATGTAAATATTCCTCTTTGCTAAAACATCTGCCGTCTTAAGTCCATTTTTAATCAAGAGCCAAGAGTAGGAAGAGAACCTAAGTGCCGCCCTTTTATGCCATACATATATACTTAACCCATGAGACTTCCAGTAACCCCTTATAGAAATTAAGTCTAAAAGCTCTTATTGTTAATATTTGATTTCCAAGAAAGAGGCGCAGTGTTTTCATCAGTAAGAGGTATAATATAAATCAGATCCTGCACATCTTTAGGAATAAAATCTGGTAAGCACCAAACACCACCTTGTAAATAACACCCGAGGTAAATTAACATTGAATTCAAATAGAAAGTAACTTTACCCCATATCTTTTCATATCATCACAAATAAAGCAAGTTTATATTCAATGGTTGATCTAACGAATAGATTCAATCAGGGCTGCTAAATGTAGGGCTTCATTTTAATATTCCATTGTGGCATTGTATGAAGCCGGTTCAGGTGCAGATTGACGGTCCAGCTCTTCCTCCACAAGCAAGCGGCTGCCAGTTCCCTGCCATTCACAGTAAGCAAAGGACAAAAGATAAAAAAAAAATTCAAAAAAGGGGGAGGGGACCAGAAGTTCAGTGAGCTCACGACCAAGAGAAGGAGCTCTCTCTCATTTTTTTTTAAAAGGCCATGCGAGGTCTCCATTTTAGGAGCTCTCTCTCCACTGAACAAGCCCCTCCCTCACCCTTTGGAACAATTATTAGGTCCTCTGACCGAATGTATCGGTCATCACTGAGTTACTCGGTATTTGTCAGTATTTGCTCGGTATTGCTAGGTATTGCTTGGCAATAACGAAAAATACCGCTCTGTGAAGATCAATACCGTGCAATACCGAATTTTTTCTAGAAAAAACTAGGTATTGCTCAGTAATGCTCGGTACAACTCGGTATTGTTTGGTATTGCTCAATATTTGTCTTCACATAATGATATTTCTCGTTATTGTTGGTATTGCTCGGTATTTGCTTGATATTTCTCGTTTTGTGTCTGATACGTGGTGCAATCTCAGTGCTGGCCGAACGTAGCTCTAAGTACATTCACCGGACCAAATTAAAGTTCCACCCTTTGGCTTATCAAGGGCCGAGCAATTAACGGTTGTCTCCTCTCCGATGATCGAGCAGCTGGTTCCGACTAGCTCCGCCCACTCCGACTCCGACCCATTTGGGCTTGGGTTGGACCAATTTTGGTGCTATTTGGTTCGTCCTTTTGAGATGTTCAATTTGACTGTAAGTTTGCTGAAATTGGAATTCCGATGATCCCAAATTTAATTTTGAAAGTTTCCAACTTGAATATGCCTCGAGTTTCGTGCTTGATCAAGGCAATTTTTGTCGACGTATCAATTATACAAATATTGTCTCTGATATTATTTCTTTTATGCACCGAATATAATTATATTTTACTGTAACTATGAATTCTATTAACATATAGGTCTCATTATGAAGTTCTTCCAATATGAAGAGTTATTTCGAACCTGATGGAAGCAAAGAAAGAAAAGACAAAACTTTCTCCGAATATTGTAACTCAAGTTTAGTGAGGAAAGACAAATTATTCTTTGCGGATGCCGAACGTCATCCAGAGATCAACCATAATACACCACGTCACCCCCGCTCGGTAACGCTCAGTACCACGCTCGGTACTGCTGACGTGGCGCATTCTGGTTGATCTCCGGACGATGAACTACGGTCGGCGCTCGCACAAAATAATCTCTCAGTCATCGAGTTTTTTCACAGCCTGAAGTCGAATATATTGAATGTGTAGATGAATGCTGGGAGAGGCATATGGGTTGGGCCATGGGAGGATGAAGGCCATGGAGGCTTATGGGTCGGGTTACTAATATGCAGGCTTGTTAATTTTTACTATTACTAGTTTTTGGTATAGCCTTTTATGGGTGATTGATATGGGTTTTTAGGCGCAACCTTTCTATATTTTGAGATCAAGATGCATGGTCAGTAAATAGAAAGAATATCAAAGGAATGTTGTAAGTGTTCTGAATGGACAAATGGTTTCGACTCCCTTGATCGTGGGTCGTTAATAGAGTATTTGAGTGTCTTAATGTCATCGAAATTTGGCGATCTTGGTTTCGTTGGATTAGTCTTATCGAGCCACTCGATTCGACTATAAGCCTGTTAGGTTTGGAAATCGTTTGGTCATTTAATTTATGGTTTGAACATTCTAAATGTGCTTCGGGTCTTCAATTTGAATCTATTTGAGCTTGGATTTGGTTGAATTTGGTGTTTTTGGGTTCGTCTTTTTGAGATGTTTAGTTCAACTATAAATTTATTGAAATCGGAATTCTGATGGTCCCATATTTCATTTTGGAAGTTTCTAACTTATTTTTTTTTTCCTCGAGATTCGTGCTTGATCATGCTTAATTTTTTTATGATATATCAGATTTGTATTAGATGGGGTGTTTCAATTTGTTTTAGAGCAATTATGATCATGCTTATTTGAATCTTAATTAAATCATTTTTAAATCTAAAAAAAATTATACAAATTAAAAAGGTTAATGGAATATTATTATATTTATTGTATTTTAATTTGATTTTATGAATAAGAACATAAAATTAAATGCAAAAAATTAAGATAAAATTTTCACATTCTATTATTTTATTTATTATTTATAATAAAACAAATCTATATGTGAAATAAACCCTAAAAAATAAAAAGCAAATGAAGAAAATTTCATTAAGATTTGTTCAATTAATTGATCTTTAAATTGATTAAAACTTTAGGCTATCTCATGCAAAAAACTTGTTACTAAATGCCAATTTCATGATAAATATGAGAGATTCTGACGCTTCTTCTTCATCTTCTCTCCATCCCCAAAGAACTTCCCTTCAACTTCTCCTTCGAATAGTAGAAATGAAGGGTTAGGTTTAAATGGATTGGAAGCTAAATGATCATTTTCTAATTAAAAATATTGGTTAATTAATTGGAGCCTTCAAAATTCATTTAAAAAAAAAAAGTTTTTGGGCTGAAATTTAAAAAAATATATTTTATTTAATATATTTAAGAAAAAATAATATTAGTTTAATTTATGATTTCATATAAAATAATAAATACTATATGATGTTGGGCTAAAATTTAAATCATGAAATTAAATTAAATTACATAATTAATCAATCAATTAAATTAATATCTCTTATTTCTAAATATAAACAATTTTAAATAAAAATAATTTATAAAATTACAAAACGGGGAAAGATTCGTCTGAACATTTGCAAATTGCAAAAGCGACATAAAGCTGCAATAACGCAATTTAAGGTGCGTAATTAAGATCATTTATGGGAAACTTTCGAAATAAGCCTCAATAGTCAATATATCACGCCATTGGCTCAGAATATGCACCAATGAATATTCTGTATTCAGACCTATATTTTTTTCCATATTAGCCCCTTGCAATTCGAAATATTAGCTTCTGGCTCTTGCGTTTGTTTCCTTTATTTGCAGCCCAAAGCAGTGCTAAGTATTCTTATTTTGCAGAGAAGAAAGGAAGAAGAAGAGAGAAAGAGGGAGAAGGAAGAAGAAGAGAAGCCATGGGAGAACCTGCCATTGATCTCCATTCTTCTCACCATTCAGAGTTCAATTGTGAGCCCTTTGATGGATGGCAAGGTAAGATCAATGTAATTTCTCCATCTTCTTTTTTTTTAATTAAAAGAATAAAAGAAATTAAACAAGTGAGATTCTGATTTGTGCAATGTAGAGATTGGAATTTCATATAAATATTTATAGTAGTTAGATTTATTTTGAGATTAGTGCAATATAAATTTTGAATGATTAACTATGTGTTATAATCATCTCGATTATAATCTGATGGCTATAAAATTAGCGTGATTAAATTTAAGTTACAATATTGTAACCCTATTTTTCTCCAATGATTGATGGAGTAGAATAATTGAAAATAAATTATTTTTGTATTTTAGATTTGAAATATGTGTTTGAAAATGATGGTTTGATTTTTATTTATTTTGTTTATGAAAATAAAATAATGACAATTTAGTAGTTTATAAAGTTAAGAACTTTGTTGTTTTGTTATTAAATTCAATAAAATTATTGAATATAAAATATTATTATTTTTAAAATAAATATGTATATACTATAGCCCTTTATAGTGAGTCGATATTTTTGGTTTCAGGAATTCTTCATGGTTAAATCATTTATTTATTTTTAAAAAATAAAATATACCAAATTTGTGTTTGAGCAAAGAATCAGTAAAAGCTCAATATTTTGTCCATTAAAATAAATCTATTTTCTATTTTTCTTAGATGGTAAAGTAGTAATTATGTTTCATTTGGTTTATGCTTTTATATATATTTTGCTAATAAGTTGAACCCCTAACTATTTTACAGTAGAAGAGAATGATCATCCTATTGAGGAGGTGAGAATGACTGTAGACCCAACTGATAACCCAAACCTTCCAGTACTGACGATTCGAACCTGGTTTCTCGGTGTGATCTCATGTATGGTGCTTGCATTTGCAAATATGTTCTTTGGGTATAGAACAAACCAGCTAAGTATTGGTTCAGTTTGTGTTCAAATCATCTCCCTCCCAATTGGGAGATTTCTTGCAAAGACTTTGCCTAAAAAGGATGTGAAGGTCCCATTCACCAATTGGTCATTCTCGCTCAACCCGGGGCCTTTTTCGATAAAGGAACACTGTCTTATCACTATTTTTGCCAGTGCGGGTGCCGGAGGTTTATATGCCATTCACATTGTCACTATAGTCAGGGCTTTTTATCATAGAAGTATTCACCCGATGGCAGCCTTCATGTTAGCACAAACAACACAGGTAAGAATTATAAACCGTTTTTAGTCAGAGTTGATGATTATAATAGGTAATATATTTTTAAGATGTATTTGTTTTAGTGACATGTAATTTTTAGAGTATAATTTAGTCTCTCAACTTTTTAAAATTTAACATTTTTGGTCCCTCTGTCTTCTCATATGTTTGGAATTAATGAAAGCTAGTCGCAGGAAGCAAATGTATTGAGGGTTTACTAGTATTTATATGAGGTTTAAACAATCCTTGCATCTATGGATTATTTGTAGTCACAATAGAAAATCTTTAGTCATTTCTTTGCTTGAAAGTTCCAAAATTTCCCTCAAGTAGAAGACCCCTAAGATTAGCTTCCATCAATTCCAAACAAATGAGATGATGAAGAACAAAAAATGTTTAGATTCGATGAGTTGAGGTTAAATTTGAAAGTAAACTTTGAGAGTGAAATGATCAGACCAAAATAATTTTGGGAGCATTTGATCATTTACTTCAAAACTAAAAACCAAAAGAGAATAATCTAGATGGTAACAGTTTTAAACATATAATATGCATTATAGCATTAACATAATTTTCATAAATATTTTTGCAAATGTAATTATAATTGATATCATTTTGTTCTTGAAATTTGAAGTTGCTTGGCTATGGTTGGGCTGGCATTTACAGAAAGTACCTAGTGGAGTCTCCATATATGTGGTGGCCTGCAAATCTCGTCCAAGTCTCACTCTTTAAGTAAGAACACAAAATCATTCAAACTAAAGTCTTCTTTTGATATCCTAATTTTTCTAACTTTTATGCTAAATGGCTTTCTCTAGAGCACTACATTTGAAGGAGAAAAGAAAGAAAGGAAGACTCACAAGACTTCAGTTCTTCATCATTACATTCGTTGCAAGTTTTACGTACTATATAATCCCAGGCTTCATCTTTCCCACAATTTCAAGCATCTCTGTGCTTTGTCTGATATTTAAGAACTCCATTACAATGCAACAGATTGGTTCTGGGCAAAATGGACTTGGCATAGGCTCATTTGGCCTTGATTGGTCTACAGTGGCCTCTTTTCTTGGTAGCCCTTTAGCCACACCTTCAACAGCTATTTTCAACATTATGGTTAGCTTCTTCTTGGGAATCTATGTACTCGTTCCAATTAGCTATTGGCTAAACCTATACAATGCAAAGCATTTCCCTATCATCTCCTCCAGTGTTTACGACATGAACGGGAAACACTATAATACTACTAGAATTATCAATGATAAAACATTCACTTTGAATGTTCTAGAAGAAGAAAATTATAGCAAGATTCATATGAGTATTACATTTGCTTTGACTTATGGTTTGGGGTTTGCCACATTGACAGCATCAATAATGCATGTTGCTTTACATGATGGAAAGTAAGAATTTGTTTTGTCTACATCTATATCAAAATCAACAAATTTTCTCATAAAATTTATTTGAATTTAATATTTTTGTTTTTAAAATGTGTTTAGGGATATATGGAAGCAAGTATGGAAGGCTAAAGAATATGCTAAGAAGAAGGCCGAGGATGTGCACACAAGATTGATGAGGAGGAACTATGAGCCTGTGCCTCAATGGTGGTTTCATGTTCTTTTGGTTTTAGTTGTTGGACTCTCTATTTTTACTTGTCTTGGATTTGGTGGTCAACTACAACTTCCTTGGTGGGGTGTTTTGTTCGCTTGTGCCATAGGCTTATTCTTTACTTTACCAATTGGAGTTATACTGGCAACCACAAATCAGGTGTGTTATTGTTGATTATATTATGGCAAACCATGCATAAAACAACTTAGAAAAGGAAAAAAAATTCAACAAAACCATTTAGGTATGCTAAGTATCATAATAGTTATTTCTAACTTATAATTTTCTTACTAACTTTTAAAAGTTTTGCTTTAGAAAGTATGCCAGTGGATAAAACATATCAGAAATCATGGTTGGAAAATTAGATTTTTATAAAGCTTAAGCTACACCAATTGATAAGTTACATTTATTACTTGTATAATCCTTTTAAGCTAATTCTATGGTGTATGCTTCTGCCAAAACTAGCAAACTATATTGCTCGTTATATATTTTTTTCTCTTACTGTTAGAATTTTTAAAAGCTATTTTCTTAGCATAATTTGTACTCCTCACAAAAGTAGTTTTCTTAAAGTTAATCCTAAGAAAATAGGAAAAAAAGTTGTATAAATTCTCATGCAAACAAGCATTGCTAATGCAAATGAGCCTCTACACCATTACTCTATTTTGGCACATATCTGATACAAATGATGTAAATAGAAGGATTTGTATGATAACTTTACATCTGATCTTCTTTGATTGTTATTTTTCAGGCACCAGGGCTTAATATAATTACAGAGTATATAATCGGTCTGATATTGCCTGGAAAACCTCTAGCCAATGTGACATTCAAGACATATGGTTATATAAGCATGGCACAAGCACTGGGACTTCTTAGTGATTTAAACCTGGGCCACTACATGAAAATTCCACCAAAGGCTATGTTCATCTCACAGGTAACTTGAACTCAACAAGCTCAAGCAACTTTGCATGACATGTCATTATTTTTTTAAATTATGAATTTTATATGATGATTCACAACAACCTAATTATAAGGAGTTGAAATGGTCCAACTAAAACTCTCTCAATTTTAGTTGTTAAAAATATATAATCAATAATCAAACCTAGTAATGGAGCATGTGATGTGCTAGAGTTGGATCTTGACCCTTAGATTTAATAAAATTCTTATGTACTTATATACAATATGAACATTTTATTATTAGACTCTTATAAGTATAGATATTATAGAAGTTTTGCTCCTCTGAATTCTGAATATGCCCTTTCACCACCTCTAACTTGAAATATTAGCTTTGTCACTACTTAAAATAACGATTTCCAATAAATTAAGAAGTATATTTTTGTAAGCACTAATTCCAAAGCCAAAGATTAATTAATTAAAAATGATGTGGAATAAAAATTAAAGTTTTTTTAAGCTGATGTGGGCAATACCAACTTCTTCCTTCCAAAAAGAATAAAAAACAACTATCTATCAACTATCACAATCTTGTAGATTTGATTATGAAAACCTCATCATATATAATTTTTAAAAAGAAACAAAGAAGTTGTAGCTTCTGTAATATAAAACTAAGAAAAAACTATTCCAAACACCCCTCAATTCCACATTTGAACTGGTTAAATGACACCAACTAACTAACTTACTTCTTTATAAACTTTTTGCAGCTAGCAGGAACCATAATATCATCAGCCATCACATTTGGAACAGCTTGGTTTCTTCTAAGCACAGTGGAGAACATATGTGATGTAGATGAGCTTCCAACTGGAAGTCCATGGACTTGCCCAAACGATGCAGTCTTCTACAACGCATCCATTATATGGGGACTCGTTGGCCCTGTAAGAATGTTTGGAAAACTTGGGCTTTACTCTTCCTTAAACTATTTCTTCATCATTGGCTTCTTGCTTCCTGTTCCATTCTGGTGGCTTTCCAAAGCTTTTCCAGAGAAAAAATGGCTGAAACACATTCACATTCCCCTCCTCCTCTCAGGTGCAGGTGGAATTCCTCCTGCACACACAGTGAACTATATCATGTGGGGAATAGTTGGTGTGTTCTTCAACTATTATATCTATAATAAGTACAAAGAATGGTGGGCAAGGCACACTTATGTGATGTCAGCTGCATTAGATGCTGGAATAGCCTTTATGGGTATACTTATATTCTTTGCCTTACAATCTTATAATATTAGTGGAATAGATTGGTGGGGAGGGGGAAGTGATTATTGTCCTCTTGCTAGTTGTCCTACAGCACCTGGAGTAGTAGTTAAAGGTTGTCCTAGCATTCAATAGTATGATCAATCTTTCTGGTTATTTATTCTCTGTATTTTGTTATGGAAATGTTGGTAAAGTTCAAAGAACATATCTTAACAAGGGAAGTTTATATGTGAAGTGCATTTTGGTTATTATTGATGTTCTTAGAAGGTAAGCAATGTTGTAAGTTTGTGGATATGGTTGACTAAAGTAGATGTTGCACAAAAGGATTGATGTTTGAACATGAGTTTATAGTTGTTTGTAAAATTTATTATGAAGTTATTATGGGTATCATATGTTTTTTTTTTTACCATGAGAGAAAGTCAAAGAATAACTTTGTGATATTTATCATCAGTGGCGAAGCAAGAAAATTTTAAAGGGGGAGGCTCAATTTTAATCTTGCTTCAGCTGATTTTGATATTCATATTTAATTAATCACTTTACTGCTTATATGTATTATACTTGCAGATTTCATTCGAGTTTTTTTTTTAAATCGCTCGCTGGAAGAGCCGATGCGGGCTTTTCTAAATTTTTGAGGGGCAGCACGTGGCCCCCTTGTCTACCATACTATAGTAATATGAGCATGAAAAATTATTTTCACCATAAATTTTTTAAAATAATAAAAAAAGATTATAGAAAAATAGAAATGCAACTATGGATTTACAATAAAATTGTGGAAAAAAAAATTATCACAAATGAACCCTAAGAATGACTATATTTTATAGAAAGAATATACAACATATAAAAGATGACTTGTAAGTTAACTATTTCTATTAGTTTTAATTTTAGTCAGTCATCTCAAGCATTGAATAGGCACAACAAATATGTATATTTTTTATATAATTGAGATGCTAAAATATTATATATATATATATATATATTAGGGGTGTCAATTTTGGGTCACGGGTCGGGTTCTTGGCGAACTCGGAACTAACCTGCACCATTCGGGTCAACCCAATCCTAACCCGTTTTTGCAAGCTAGTCTATTTTTCAAACCCAAACTCGACCCGCTTAGGGTCCGGATTAACCACACAACCTAAATGACCTAGGACACAAAAAATTGTTATTTTTCGGGTAAAAAAAAGGTCAATATTCAATTTTTTAAAAGGGTTGATTTGTTGAATCCGAACCTGGTCCGTTTTAGGTCTGGGTTGAGTCTAATCCTGAATTTTTGGGTCAAATTTGAGTCCGATATTTGGGTCATGCCAAATATTGACACCCCTAGGCTATCTATGCAAATCCTCATTAATAAAATGCTTTTAAATTCACATAATTAACTAATTTTACTCTTTGACCTCAAATTATTCATATAATTACGCGGCCGCCTGGGGATTTTATCCGCCATCCAAACCACCGCGGTTTCCGTTTCTGGAAGCTTAAGAAGATGAGAATGGAAGAGCGGTGAATAGTAAGCAAGAAATTCGGACTTGTAGAGAGGAGAAGGAGAGGAAGAAGACCGTCGTGGAGATGTGCCAAAACCCTAATCCGTCCTTTGGACCGAACCATAATGGCCTCCCTAGCCCTAGCAACCCGAAGGAGGATCGGGAGCTCAAGAGACAGGTACAGGTGAAAGAGTTCGCGTTGGTGCTGGCCAATAGTGATGTGGCCGTGCGTGTTCAGGCAGCTAGGGATATCCGTAAGATTGTCCGTGGATCTCCTAGAGGGCGTTCGGCCTTCGCAGTACCCGCGATTATTCAGCCCCTTGTCGCCATGCTACAATCGGCCGATCACGTTTCAAGGGAGTCGGCGCTTCTTGCTCTTCTTAACATGGCAGTTCGCAATGAACGGTGAGTGAGCCTGTTCTTTTGATCGAGATTGCTGTTTTGGAAATTGTTTATGTTTGAGTGTTTGGGATATTTGCAATGCAATGGTAATTTATTGTTATGTCGGGTGATTTGATAGTTTGATTCGTAATTTTGATTGCTGTTGGCCATCGGTGGGGTTAATTTGAAATAAGTTAATATCGGAAGAACGGGAATGTGAATACATCATGTTACCTTGATTATTGTTGGATTATGGAAATTGTTGACACCTTTTCGGTTAGATATGTTAATGTTTCATTTTTTTTTTTTTGGTTAGGGTGAGGTCCAATGTTTCAGATGCAATGTAAGGTTGTATTTGGCGAGATCTCAATCCCGAATAAATATTTACGATTTATTTAATAGAATAGGCAAGATGCAATGAAAGTTTGTATTTTATATGGTGTGAACAAATGGAAATTGAGATCAAGTAAATAGGAATGGAAGATGGAGATGGGCGCTTGATTGAATAGTGTGTGAGATGCAATATTAGCTTATTCGGGGGGAGAGAGAGAGAGTTGAATAATCCAATACAAAAGTGAAGCCCACAATCCAATGAAAAATAAATTATAACTAAATATTTTTATAAATTGCCTAATTATTAAATATATTTCTTAAATGATAACCGGCCCTTGAAGGAAGTTGTTGGACTCTTTTGGTGTTCTCGAATCTCGATACCTTGTTAATGGAGTGGGAAGGGATGTTGAGCTTCAATTTCAAATATGAATATTAGGAGGTATTTAGAAAGAAAGGGGACTTCATGTCTCCCTCGATGCATGCTAGGATTCACTATTTGTAATTCTTGTTGACTTTGTTAGCTAACCTCATTTGTCGTCCAACTTTACAAATGACTTAGGGCAATTGAGTGTAACCACTATGCTTTGTTGTGGTTGTCTCTATTTGCATTTGCATTCATATATACCTTGATCACCATATTTTTCACATTTATTGTTACTAATATGGCCTAATATTGTTAGCCATTGATACCAACTAACGGTGTAAGAGAAAAAAAAAAAAAACTACAAAAGACAACACATTTTGAATGCCTAAATTCGGTATTATATTTTTTCACAGAATAGAATCTCACTCCCTCTTTATTTGCAATCAGGGTGATCTAGGCTCTTTTGAGGCACTTAAGTATTTTTGTTGACTCCAATCAACCTCTCTTCAAAATCGTCATTGTCTCGATATCTTTGTTGATTAGATAGAAGCTTTTATGAAGATTATGAATGATCGAGGTTATTTTTCTTATAAAGATTATTAGAAGTTAGAACTTTCTTAGAATATTTTATTTCAGCTAAATTCTTATTGATCCTTACATGTATAGATATAGATTAGGAATTATTTTATGGTTTCGAATTGCAAAATCCTTAGCTCAACTTATTTGTTTGGTTGAAATTGAGGATTAGGGTTTGGATAATATGGTTATATCTCATTAAAGCTTTATATGAAAAGTGGGTAGAGAACGAGAGGCTCTAGAATGAGTGGGCGGAAGCCTTGAAGTGGAGTTAGCAACATTTTCAATTCTTATGGTAGATGCAGGGTTTTCGGCTAGTTTTTCATTCAAGGATTTCGAGGTAATTAAGATCTCGAGTATGTAAGGTTTTAATGAAGGAACTAATGAGTAAGAATTTGGTTTTAGATGATGATGACTAATTTTTCTTCGAGGATGAAAACTTGCACTTGTGATTTATCTTAGTCGGTTAGTACCTTTGTATTCCATTGAAAAACTTTTGGTAGTGAGAGATTAGAGGGAGTTTGATGCTTCCTAAAGAGAGAGTGAAAGAGACACCCGAACAATAGCTGAGCCATAAAATTTTGTTAATGGGTACACATTTAATTTATTATTTAGAGGTAGCACAAATTGAATTATAACTATTGCGAACATTAAATACAAGGGGCTTGCTAATGCATATCTATGATATATAGAAGCATTAAAAATTTAGAGAGGGGGAGAGGAGCACGTGCGCTCTTATGCCCTCGCTATATCCAGCCTTGCACTTGAGTCTAGGTTAATAGAGGGTTTGTTAAGGCCTAAAATGATAGAGAATGAGGCCGATATAAAATACTTCTGCTAGAGATCTTTTTTGTTAATGACTTGAAAAACTCATCTTTTTTGTTAATGACTAGAAATCCTTCACCTTTTTAGACTTCATCTATCAAAAAATCTGTGCTCTTTTTTTATTTTGAAATAACGTTGTTCTGCTATCATCCATCTAAGCAGTAATATGACATCCCTTGTACATGCGGCGCCCCTGTCAAAAAAGAAAAAAGAAAAAAGAAAAAAAAACTATTCCTATTATAGAAAAGCTACCCATCATAAATGTTTTGAGGACCCTTCTGTCAGTCAGGCCTGACTTCGACTTTATAGTCTATTAAACTCTGACGTGTATAGCAGCAGAAAACACATGCAAATAATCAGGGCTCACACGTTTCACATTTATTAACAAACAGAAAAAAACAAGATTGTCGTAGCTATATGTTAGATTATTCCTTTAGTTATGAAATTCATTTAAAAATCTCTTGAGTATTAATAGGATTTCTCATGCACATATAAACCCAAAATTAACGTTATTTACGTTTTATTCCTTAGGCCATTAGGAAGAAAGTCATATTTTGTAGCTTCAAGACTTCTATACTCCAAATTAGTCATGCACAGATATTCATATAAAGATTGAAATTAGCTTATCCATTTCAATAACCTTGTGAAAGAGTATATTTACAATATTGTGCATAACTAATGGTTTATAACCTTATTTTGAATGAGCGCATAGAAGATGGATGAAAACATAGAAAATGCATGAATAACTTGCTCATTTAATAATGAGTTTATTAGACATGGGACTGGCTCACACGTAATAGAGGCGGGATTTCTCCGCCTTCTATATGTGCCGCTCAAGCCGACCAGTCCAAAAAAGCTATTTTAGATTTATTGAAATCTGAATGTAAGGACTGATTAGATATTTCCTTTTAGATTGTATGCTTTTTTTTTCATTTTTTTTCGTATGCATTAAATTGTTTGTTTTACTAGGGTTAGGGCATCTTGAATTTGGCTGAAATTTGAGATCTTTTAGGTTTCTAGGCTCTAGCGGCGTGTAGAGGTTTGGGAGAGATAGATCCTCCTCTCAAATAGAAGATCAATTGTATCTTGATATTTTCCGTTTCTATTTCATCAAATAATACAAATTATCTACTGCTTCTCTGATTTTGTGTGGATTTTTGTGGAAAAATCTCGCTGTTTTCTAAAGGTTGATAGGAAATTCTTGAGATCTGCAAGTATTTCCTATCAGAGTTGAATATCCATGCTTAGGCAAAACCACGATTGGATGATTACATATGAAATGCTTCCATTTCATTCCAGAAGCAAGTAACCCAAAAAGGTATTTTTTTTCAATGAAAACTCATAATAATAAATATTTGATGTTAGATATCATGACCACGCATAAAGAGAAAGTATCATAATCCTTTCGGTTTGTAGGCTCTCCTAGGAGTAAATATATGTTTTTTTTGCATTTATGCAAGATCTTTTTTAACAGCTGTGGATTGTTTTTCAATCATGAAAACTAAACAATAGTATTATCTTTTTTATACTGTAGATAAATGCTTTGATGTTGTGATTTATGTAATATATTCTGTTATCCTTGTATTGCTTTTTTATTTTTTTCAAATGCCTGATGGAGATTTATTGGTAAATATTTCTCTCTCAATATCTCAAAAACTATGCTTCTAACCAAGATTTTACTTTCAATTTTTGTTTTCTTTCTTGACAAGTATGCCTATTGAGAGCATTTTTTCCATTTGTCTTTCAGAAACAAGGAAAAGCTAGTGTCAAGTGGTACTGTTCCACTTCTTGTTGAAATGTTAGGGTCTGATAATACTCTAAAAGAGATGGCCACTGCAGCAATTCTCACCTTATCAGCTTCAAAATCCAATAAATCAACCATTGCCGCCTCAGGCGCAACGCCTCTGCTCGTTAATATTCTTATATCTGGAAGCATTCAAGGCCGGGTCGACGCCGTAACCGCACTTTACAACCTCTCCGATTGTCACGAAAATGGCACCGACGATCTTTTTCTCTCCGCCGAAGCCGTAATTCCACTTCTCACCCTCCTCAAAGACAGCAAGAAATACTCCAAATTTGCTGCTAAAACCACTGCTCTTCTTTCCATCCTTTCTGAATCAGAAGAAGGGAGATGCGCCATTTCAGAAGTGCAAGGTGGGATTCTAACTATCGTCGAAACCGTCGAAGAAGGCTCATTGCTTAGCACCGAACACGCAGTTCGCATCCTTCTTTCGCTGTGTCGAAGCAACAGGGAGAAGTACAGGGAACTCATTCTGAATGAAGGTCCCATCCCAGGTCTGTTTCTATTGACAGTAGAGGGCACAAAGAAGGCTTGTAATTATTCTCATGACCTTCTAAAGCTGCTTAGATATGATTCCCAGTCAAAGAAATCAGAATCTAAGGAGATAGAAGCAATTGATTACAGTAACAAAGCAGAAGAAACAGCAAAAATGTTGCTTCAAGACATGGTTAGAAGAAACATGGAAGAAAATATTAAGAAGCTTCAGCTCAGCAGTGCAGCAACAAGCAGTCAAGCCCACAGTTGATTGAAGAAACTTCCTACTTTTGTAGTGTTCAAAGTTTGGTATGTTTTGAATCTACTGATATTGATTCTTGTTTTTTAGGGTTTCTTTTCATGGTTTGTAAAGTGTATTATATAGTGTTGGATCTAATGGTTTTTTTTTTTTTTTTTTTTGAAGTTTCACCAATTTCTATATATATAAATCAGGAGAAAATTTGGATTTTGGTTCAGAGATAATTGTAATGATTTTTTAGTCATTAATCAATCGGGTCTCATATTGCACCCTTTTTAAGATGAATCTATTGGTTGTTATTAAATCTATCTTTATCAAATTTTAAATTCTATAATTTTTAGTTATTTTCAAAAATAAATTAGGTTTAAAGAGCATTGATTGTAATGTGTAGTTTTATTTTTCTTTGATTTTTTTTTTAAGGAATTTAATTTTTTAATTTTAAGTTAATAATATAGAATATCATGTGATAATTTATTCTTCAATTAAATTCAAGATGTTTAATATATAAATCTATGAGCAGTTGAAATATATTTATTTTATATCTATTTACAAATGGGATAGCTTTCTTACAGCTTCTTAAAAAAAAATTTTAATACAAAAATTAAAATTTTTATATTAAAAAAATAATTTTAAGAAGCAATAAAAAAACCGTCCTAAACAAAGCCTTAATCTTTGATCTCTTATTTACCTTAAAAAATGGAAATGATAAAAGACATACATTTATTAATGTTGTTATGAATAAATAACAAAGAGAAAGTATACACCTCCACAACCCAAGCTTTTTTTAAATGGATATTTAAATAAAATTCTCCTTTATGATCCCGGTCAAAGAAGTCATTTAGGTTTTGTTTGGGACGATTTTTTTATTACTTCTTAAAATAATCTTTTAGCTTTAAAATTAAAATTTTTAAACCCTAAACTATTTTAAAAAGCAGTAAGAAAATCATCCCAAACAAAATCTTACTCCCATGCAAACAGCATGAAAAATTAAAGAAAGAGTAAATCAAAGGAAATAAGCTAAACACAACTTTCATTTTGTCCTTGGATAAAATAAGTGGGTACACAAAATGCATCACCCCTCAAAGCAAAAAAAAAAAAATTACATAAGAAAATCTCCTCCACCCCTTCAAAAAAAATTTTTTTTTTGAAATTCTCAGAGCTAACTCACAGAGGAAATTGCAACATTAACAAAATTCTCACAAGTAGAGAATCCAGCAGAAAGAACGTCTGCCAAAGCCCCCATCACATCAAATGCCTCTTGCAGATCAACAGCTGAGTTCATATCCTCAATATAAGAAAGCAACTCTTCTGTGAATCCAACCATTTCCTTAACATTCATTAACCTCTCCTTCATCACCATTTCCCATCTCTCCATCCCATTATTCCCTTCCGAATCCTCCGCCATATTTGAGCCGCCTTTGCTCAGCTTGAAGAAACGCTGAAGCTGCTCGATCAAGCCTGTGTACACTAACATCGGTTGAATGACGGCGAAGAGCTTCGCGCTCTCATTAATGTCTGTTGAAGAGCCTTCCTGTACTCTTCTACCAACAGGTTCGGCGAACCGAAGCGAGGAAGACTTTCCGTGCTTGTTCTGCATATAAGCATGGTATATGCCTCGTTGCAGAAAGCTAAGGCGGTGTTGAGACCAACTCTCGTATGACTCGGAAAGAAGCGAGTTCACCATCATGAACTGGATGGTTTCGTCGGAGGCGCTGACGGAAGATCGAGTTGAAGAAGGAGAAGATGAAGGCCGAGTAGGGGAAACCGATGGAGGAGAGGAGGAGAGGTAGGCGGCGACCGCCTTCACCATGACTTGGCGTTGCTGTTGATTGGAGCTTCCTTGGTCGAGGAGGTGAGAGGCCATCTGAATCATGAATGGAAGGAAGCGGGCGTTGCTTTCTCGTCCTCCGCCTTTGCTGTCGGTGCTGAAAGAAGCGCCGGTTGCAAATCGAGCCAGCATCTTTATCAAATACAAATGGAGGGAGAAATCAAGATTAGTATGGGGTAGCTAAAAGTAGAATGAAAGATACAAGTTAGGAATTTTAAGTAAATGTTCTGGCATTAAAGAAAAGAGTGATTACAATATTCTTAATGAGTTTTACCTCTAATTAGAAGGGGTTAACCTAACAAAGGAATGTAATTCAGTTCAAGATATATTAATAAATTTTGATAAGAATATAATGAAGTAATTTTTATCTGAAAAATAATCGGATGGGTTTCATGTTGACCATCCGTTGTTGTAAGAAATAGGTGTATGATCCAAGATAAATGTTGACCTCTAATTCAACACCGCCGAACAAAGTCACATACCCTGAAACTTAATTCGTTAAAACTCTTCCGAAAGCAGGGGAGGCCGGGGCGTGAATTTTCGGAGCCCACAATGAAGTTGCATTTTAAGAACTAAGTCTACTCTTTATCTTAAATGCCAAGATTGGCGACCTTCTAAAAAGCTCAAAATTCATTAGGAATAAGTCTAAATATCCATTAGTAAATAGCTTAGGCGTAAAAACAATGGGCACTGATGTTTAATACATGTATAATTTGCATTCATTTAACGGAAGTCTAGAGTAGAAAATGTCAGGAGAAGAGTCGAATACATGCTAAAACATTCAGCCTACCAAACAAATAGTAGAATTTTGGTATTCTGACAGAAAACAATTGGAAGAAATTCCATCAGGTGAGATCAAAGTCAGTTCTGAAAAGAAATATAACAAAGAAGCTAAGATGCTTAACTCACATTTATGTCAGCAGAAAAGAAAACATACCAGAACAATGTCACAAGTGATCAAACGAAGTCTACTTCCATCAGCACGGCCAAGAGCATTAAGGTTGTCCCAATACTGATCAACACACCGAACATACTGTGCCAGGGGAACTAAAGGACCATTGATGGGGAAAATGGAATTACATAAGGTTTTATTGTTCCTTAGTGTAGCTCCCTCCCATTCTTTCTTTGGATTTCTCAGCTTAGCATCAGCTCGTTTTGCCTCTTGATGGCATTGGAAATGAATTATATTAAAATGACTCACAGTTGTATAAACGCAATCTCCGCGGCCATTTGCAGAAGAAATTGCGCCCAGATTCACACGTTTACTGTAGGAGTAAACACCCAAAATTTCATTTGGTCTCAAATTGTAGCCTTCCCGGCATACCATGCATGCCAACCCTTCTTCCTCTTCTTCCACATCTTCCAGGCCTTCAATTGCAGGCTGTGAAACAACAATTCGTTCACCCCCGTCGGAAGCAAATTCTTGCCGCATACCGAGACCCTAAAAGACAAACAATGAATTAACACTCGAAAGAGTAGTAGTTCAAATATAATAGTACTATAGCCACTTTGATTCCAAATCAGATAACATTCCTTCAGGTTAGGATAATCAAACTCAAACTAGGATAAATTCCTAATTCACTAATTAAACACTGAAAACATTCAAAAAAAAAAAATCCCATCAAGGCAAAAAGGTGGGGCAACGCCATGCTTGTGGCCGCTGTTCTTCACGAAATCATATACCATAATGTTCAAAATATTCAACTAGTATGTAATATAAGAAACAAAGTCAACCATATTAATTGACCAACATAGTGAAAAAAAAGAAAAACATAGATAATACTGTAAACTTTAGAAATAAATCAGACTAGACCTATCAAATGGTCACAAATGTAATTCGAAAGAGTTTAACAAGAAAATATAAATTCCACACAACAAGATCAAAGACAAGACATCACAAACTTTTTACTGCAAAACGACATATTTTAGCTGCTGACTTTAGCAGATTAAATACACTGCATAATACCTATACGTACAAAATAATACTGTATGTATATATAGATGATTTCGATATTTGTTCAAGTACAGAAAAATAAGGTAGACACGAATTATACATAAAATACTCCTTTATTTTCTAATCAAACTTGTACAATGGTCTCATTTTAACATGTCAAAATGAATTTTGATAGAAATTAGTTTTATATTTTTAATTTCAATTAAATAGTGAATATTTTTTGTTTTAAAAATCGGAATTAAAACATATATTCTACAAAGATACGTCCGACATGTGAAAATTATTATCAAATAGTCAAGGAACTAAACAAAATGACATTTAAGCAGTCCAATCAATTGCTTCTAACAGCAGGTAAAACCAAACAAAAGAAATGCTTTTAATGCTACAGCTTTCCATCATACAAAATGATGAAACATGACTGCAGCAACGTGCTATTCCATCACCAATTAACCAACGAGGGAAATATTAATCAGGAATGCCAAAATCAGAAAGGAAAGGATACCTGTAGTAACTCCTCCCTTCTTCTCAGAGCCCGTCGACGCATTTCATCCCTAGTAGCATGTCTCAACTTACGTACTTCATCCTTCAAGAAACCATCACCAATATCGTCCTTATCTGACAAAGTATCCAACAAGTTTTCAGCTCTTGCTCCTATTTCATTTTCTCCAGATACCCCTTCAAGAGCATGAAGGAGAGGCAAAACTCCTCCCTCGTCAATGCATCTCTGTGTTGGTAAATGGCCCTTCGACAGTCCCCTCAGCATGGACAAGATCAATGGAATTGACGGACGTTTTAATCCATCTGCCCACTCGGTACTAGATCTGTATCCAGCCTGACCCACAACTGCAAAGCATTCTCGCAAGAATTGAACAGCTACCTGTGTGATTCCTTTCTCAAGAATGATGTCCTTAAGCCTCTCTCCACAAGAACTAGTCTTAAGGGACTCTGATACCCGAACAAAATTTTCCACATCAGACCTCTGTTTTGCTGCTTGTGAAGCCAAGAGCTCAACTTTGGGATTATCCTCATACTCTTTCTGCAAACGATCAAATTCATCCCAGTCATGCAAGCAAAGATCAAAGTGTTGGATAAGAGCTTCCATTGCTGCTGGCTCCCCATAAGTCAAGTAGGGAAGTATCCTTGCTAACATTTCATTGTTCTGTTGCTGTTTATCGGACTTCTTTAGGCTAGGATGACTTAGTCTTTCTAGGAACATTAGAACTATCTTCTTCGCCTGTTCACTAGCACCACTTTCTGCACTTGTAATTGTAAGGACACTCTCAGTGATTCCAATATCACTCTCATTAGCTTCCATCGTGAGGCTCTCCACAATCAAAAGGATGCCTTCAGCAAGTTCCATGGCTTCTACTGAGAAAGCCCGTCTTGCTGTCTCCAAAAGCATCCCCAAAGCCCCTAAGCGTAACAAAGCCCGCCTGTTTTCTCGTATCTTGCAGCAATACATCAGAAGATTGAGCGCTGAAGCCAATTCTTCATGATTGGATTTCAGCTCGTCATCTCCCGGATTCTGTCATAGATTTCAATTTTGTATGAGAAGAGATAACAAAACAAAATATTCACTATAATAGCGACCACTGCTAACCTGGATCATAGTCAAAATAACTTCAAGCCCTCCACATTCCCTTACAGCACCTGCTATGGCAAACTCAACCTCAGGGTCCTGTAATTCCTCTCTTTCCTCTTCAAGTTCTTTAATCATTGGCTCAGTTGCTTCACCATCCAAACCCTTTAAAAACAAAACTCCAATGTATGAAATAAATGAAAAAAGCACCAAAGGAAATTCTTTAGTGGAGAAGAATGATGTCTCCTCGTGGGCATATAAAAGCTCACAAAAATATTATCAATTTTCTCAAAATATGGAAATACTATACAGAAGAGCATCAAAGTGAAGAAGAACAAAAAAATTAAGCAATGATAAATTTCCTACAATATAGCTAATATATAGCCAAGTATGACATATATATAAATATATGTGTGTGTGTGTGTCATACTTCTAAATTTTAATAAGGAAGCAAGCATGTCATATCTGAATATTTTTTCTTGAATTTTAAATTGAACATCACACGTTTCTTATTCATTACAATATTCTAGAGCATCTTGAATTATAGCGTCTTAAAGTGATGAATTCAAATGTGGAGTCATTGCTTCATATAATTACTATCGCAAGAACGGCAGGAATTACAAGATATATAGGACCATCGGTCACATCTGACAATCAAACAATGAATTTTACCAGTAGTTCCCAAGGAATCAAGATTAGAAGACTATTTCATATTACATAATTACAAAAAATAACTAGTCACCAAAACACATTTTATGATGCTGCGAAATCATACAAGCCTTTAGTTTTACAGCAAAACCCTTTTAAGGCACCAATGTACACGAAACAGAATTGTGCATAATTACTGTAACATACCAAACATATTTGCTTATGACTAAACCAATTATGATTGAACGAAAAGATGAAAATTCGCTATAGTCAACATGGAAACAAAAACAAACTTATCATTCATAATCTGGGTAACAAACCTGGAGTCTGTATGTTACTGTCATTGGCGGACAATCTCGGCTTGATGTGAATGCAGTAGAGGAAGGTGTAACAGTGCTGGCCAATTTGCTTTGTGATTGGCTATGATACTTCTTCCATACCTGCTCATATACTTGTGAAATGCTCAAGTCGAGTGATATTATATTTCCAGCAACTAACAATTCCATCCCAAAATCATCTTCAAGAAGGCCCAAGAGATCAAGTTGATGACAAATTTTGTTTTTAACATCTCTCATTAAAGGACCAATTTCAAGGCTTGAATAAGGATTCTTCGTCATGGAACCCCTAATAAACTCCTCTTGTGTATGTGCCTTGTTGAGAATCAGAAGATAAACAGGCTCAGGCTTAGATGGGCATATCATATTGCAGAGCTGCTCCAAAATGAACTGCACAATGGCATAATAAAAAAAAAAACCAATCAATTCAAATTAAAAAGTTTCAAGAAAAATTACAAATGTAAGTTCAAGTATAAAAAAAATGAGAATAGATCTTTTCCATTTCCCAGCCCCACTTTTTTTTTTTTTTCGTTAGCGAATAGTAGTCTCCATTATTTAATGTTAACCCATGACAAAGGTTTGGTGCAAAATAGTGCCGGAATCAATGTGTTTCCAACCACAACCACAAGATTCTTCTTAAAATTTCACTTTTTGTTTTCAACCCTTTCTGTTTTATTAAGTTGGTGAATGTTAGAAGCAGGTCGTTAAAGGAAAAATAGCAATAAAAACTAGTCCAAACGTTGAGTAGAATTTTCCAAACCAGGAACCATTTAAAAAATCGAACTTAAGCATTCCTTACCAGCTTAGTGAGTCCTTTTTTCTCCTTCACATGATTCTGAAGGCCAGAGATACAAGCATGAATGAACTTGCGTTTGTTACCGGTGCTCTCCAACATTAGACCATCCAAAAGATCTTTTAAAAGCTTGTTGCAATCACTTATTAGTTTCGTCTTTTGCACAATTAGTCCACGAATGACAAGGAGAGCCTCAAGCATTTGAGATAACAGCTCGTCTTTCATGAATCTGGCAGGAATAAAATAATAAATAAAGATGGTGGAAGGATGAACTCTTCATTATAACATCATAAATGAAGAAAGCCGACATACCTCACCCGAATGTTAGGCAACTCAAGAAACTTACTAAGCAGCTCGACAAGTTTATAGAGGATGAATCCCTGTGAGATATCAATATTGAGGCTCCGCTCTTGTGAATTCACATTACCTACCTCCTGCCCTATTAATCCGCATAACGTAGTCAGGCATCCCCTTGCAGTTAAGAAAAGACGAGCAGCTTCAGGATCTATTATTTTGAAGAACAACTCAAAATATTCTGCTGCACTTTCACCAGTGGGTAGTGTTGCAGGAAGCAGCAACATGAGTAGGTTCAACAACTGGAAATGCCTTGGTGAATCTTGTGGACATAGTAAACTGATGAGAGTGCATACTTCAGATCTTATGGACTGTGAGCAAGCACTTAATATCAAATCTGAAACCCAAGAACCCAGTGCAAATGATGAGAAGTCGCTCTTGGCTGTTCTTTTACAAGAAAGACGCTTCCATTTAAGTCCGTATTTAAGAGCTAGGTAATCAGACTTCTGAGGATCCTGACGAGCCGTTTGGGTCGTAACTTTAACTGCCAGTGAGACTTTGTATTGCCTCCGAACAAAATCAAGATATGATGCACCCCTTTCCCACTCAGAATAGCTCAAAAGTGGAATATCCTGAGCCTTTTGACTACCATCCCATTGTTTTTCTGGTAAGTCAGAAGGTGACTTGCCCCCACCAGGAAAGTTTTCCAAAGATATAAAAGGTTTTACAGCAAGGTCACTCTTAGACTGTAAGTTAGTTGATTTCCCTCCTTGTTCCTTCTCTGCAACATCAGTTTTAGGAGGAGTGCATGCCTGAGATATCATCCTTAAACAAGGAAGAATTACATGTTCTGATATGGAAGGGTGCTTTGCACCTACTCTAATTGAAAAAAATAGAAGTTGAAAAGCAACACGGAGCCTTATTTCCCAGAATTCATCCACCAAAGCACATGTCTCTGAAAGTAAAAACAGCTCTTCCCGAGTTGCTAGAGCAATATCCATGGAGCGATGGTGCTCTAGACAATACATCACTTTCTTCTGTATCAAAGCATTCAGCTCAGCCACTGCAGTAGAATCCCCTTCTGAGAAAGCACAGAGAACAACCCTTGCCTGGATACGAGCTGTCTTAGGACCTTGATGAATATTGTTTTCAAACAACTCTGATAAGATGCCAGCACCAACAAGTTGCTTCTTGCAGCCTCCACACTTCGACAGAACTTGCAACAACTCCATACACTGTGTAACAAATGTAGTAGCACATCCATAGCAGTTACTTGGAGAACGGAGAACAGCAAATCTTGCAGCTGTGACTACATCTTCAGTATTTTTCTCATACAGGTAATTCATCAACACTCTCCGGAGACCTTGCAAGGTTTGGACACTTTTACTGACAGAATCAAAAGCAGCTTTACATTTCTCACCATAAAGCACGCCAATAAGTGCAATTTTCCTGTTTATCTTGCAAGAAGGACCAGGTAAAGAAACCATCATTTGTTGGACAGTATCCTTTTGCTGTGGATCTATTTCATGCTCCCCAATGCTAGAGATAAGCTTAAGCAAAGGTTTCTTAAACCCCACAAGTTGCTGGTATCTTCTATGCGCATTCTCAGATTCTGCTTCAATTGCTGCCAAACCTTTCTTCATATCATCATCAGTTTCCATATTATCAAATAAAAAGCTTTGCTTTGCCATAAAACTGAATTCAAAGCGCCCATACTTGCTATAACCGCACTCATTGCAGAGGAAAGAATCAAGATTATCATAATTGATGTTACGACATTGTCGACATTGGTAAGCATTTTCGTGGCAATTGCCACAGAGACCATGTTTGTCTGTCACAGGCTTGCTACAGCGGGGGCACTGCAATGACTCTAGCGAGGAAGCTTGAAGATTTTCATAGAAGGAATCCAGCTCAATCATAAAATTGCAAGCAGTGATAGGAATTGGGAATTCAACCTTCAACTCTGTCTGATTAAAAGCAAGATGGCAACTCTTTGCACGTTTCCACAGCAACCAATTATTCTTTAGTTCTGATAAGTCGGATACAGGCCTATTGTTGTAGTATAAGTTCAAAACTTTCACAGATTTAGACTTCCGAGCATCATGTACATTCATTGTCACCGTTTGGATAGTATAACTTCCAGTGCATTTGACAATTATACGGTTGTCGGTAAATTTTGACTCCGATTTAAGGCTTTCCAGCTTCATCCTGCTGTAAGGCAGCTCCGGACAACTACAAGCTACACAGGGTTCACTTTCAAGATAGTAACCGTCAAAATCTACCAAACCGCTTAACGTGTTATATATACGTGAATTTGGATGATTTGCCAAGAGCTCATTCTGTGAGTGAAGAGTATCAAATAAGTCATTTATTACATCAGACGTTAAGCAACTACTTACAAGTTCAGTGTCAATTTGCTTAATAGTTCCATCAGGATCCTTTCCTAGTATCCAGGTCATGAGTTCTATACACTCGACAATGTTAGGACCATACATTGGCAGGAATTTCACCTTTCCTAGAAGAGCCGTTAGCATAGACTTCTTGAATGATGGTTTTCCATGGTGCCAGATGCCATATAAAATGCATTTAGCCTCAAGGCGAACACTTTCTGAATTCCACTCCAGTAAAAATGAATCAATAAATCGCTTCAAAACAGAGCCATCTTTGTCATTGAATGTCTCTACAGCTTGTTCCATGTCCATAAAAGACTTGTCAGAGCCACTTTCATTTCCCTCTTCTCCCTTTCTCTTCTTTTTTGAATCTAAAGACTGAGTTCCAACCTTTTTAGAGCTTGATCCGGTATCACCAGCATCCACTTTTTGAATGGAGGGACCAAGATCCCTTCCATTGAAAAAGGCAAGGTTGAGAAGTTTAAGAGCTTGGATGGTGGACTCTTCCCCAAAATTAAAAATTGAATTTACCAAAAAGGGTATAAAGTCGGAATGTTTCAAGCAGTACTTCTGCCAATTTCTGGGCCTGGCGCCAGCAACCTCAGACAAAGCCGACAGACATTTAACAACCTTGACACTTCTATCATATGTCACTAGATTTTGAAAGCATCCTGTTTTATTCACAAGTTTGTACAACTTCTTAACCTCATTAGAGAACTGCCATGTATCTCTCACGCTGTAATAATGAGTTTTGCTACCACATAGATGCAAGAAGAGCCTTCTAGCATACCTACGTATAAATGCGGTTTGTGGATTGTTAATATAACTACAGAGAACATCCTGAAATCCATCTAACTTCAAATCCTTTCCAAGGCCCATCTTACATGTTTTATCCTTATCAGCTGATTTTTCAGCCTTCTCAGGGCGTACCAAACTATAAACCAGGCGGAAAGTGTTTTCAAGCAGTAGTTTGTGGTAGTCCCCAAAAAGATCAGCACGGTGTGTTTTGGCGTAAGAATCTGAAAAGAAAGGAGAGAAATTACCAGCTGGGAGCTCTCTTCGAACACTTAACAAAGAGCCACAACCAGACCCTGCTGCCCCACTTTCAAAGTTCCCCGCAGAGGACTTAAAAATAATCACAAGTTGGCTCAATATATCCATTAAATAGTTAAGAAAATACTGCTGTCTTAGTATTGAGCAGGCACGAATGAGCTGTGAAGTGAACTCATTTTTTTCTTTATCATCAGGAGATGGAAGCGTTACACATGAAAACTGAACCTGAACAGATGCTTTATCTTGGGAGTCAGCAGCACCAGCCGGTTTTGATAGAGAACTGTCACCACTAGGTTGATGCCAATTCCGAAGCATTAAGGTGAAGTACATGAAAACAAGAATAGATACTTCCCCAAAAAATGAGCGGTCTTTGGCTGAAAATGGTTTGCTAAGATCAATCTCATGCAAAAACCATTTTACAAATTTTTCTAGGTCCAAATTCTCCGGGTTCAAACTATCCATAAAAGGGCCACCAACTGCAGAAGATAGTCTGTAAAACAACTGCATAACAGGAATAGCCCGCACACCAGAAGTTGTCAGCATCCATCCCTTGAGCTCTTCCAGCAATTGACGGAGCAGCAAAGAATTCACAGTACGCTTTGAAGCTGAAATTGTAACTATTCTCTGGTCAACCAAAGATGAAGAAAAATTCCCAGTTTCATTAGTTTCCAAAACATGAACTGATGATGGAGAGTTCAGCATGCTTGTATCAACAGCTATTGGCATTATGCCTACGTCATTCAATTCATCCATGGAGAAGTGGATGTCATTGCCATCAACCCCAACTGACTCAATTTCGATGGGAATTGCAGACATTGGGTGATCTCTGGAATGTGGAGGAGGGAGGCGATCAGCATCTAGAACTTCATAACAAGCCTCACACAAGTCAAAATCTGGGCATACATTGCAATGCCATCGCCGGCGTAATATAGGAACTGTTGAGCAGCCATCACAACAGTACTGTACAGACGAAGTTGTAGAATCTTCCTCAATCATGATCTGTGCATTACCTCCATTAGCAACTCCACTAGAAGGAACCTGTGCTGCAGAATTTTCTGTAGTATCATCAGTAGCTAACATTGTCTGCTTTGGAAAAGGAACTTGAAGCAGCCTGGACGACATAGCCAAACTGGAATCGAGACAAACAGGTGAGAACATACTATTAAATCATATTAAAAATACAAAGCAATGAAAAAGATTTATAAGGATGAACAAAACTTCAATAAAAAAAGCTCAAAAACACCTGCATGACGTCTGGACTTCTTCGTAAGGAGAAAAAAGAAGTTTCTTCAGCAATGAAACTGCTGGTGCTACAGAATGTTCAGAGGCTTCGATTCCATGTAAAGCTAGGCATTCAGCATAACTATATAGAAGCTCCACAGCAGGTATTACAATGTGATTGATTGTTTGTGTTTGAGGTCTCTCCGTGTCCAAAATACCCCACAAGACTTGCATCAGCCCATCCACTACTCCAGAACCTACAACAACAATAACAATATCAAACCTTTGTCCCACTACATGAATTCTTTTTCGCCATTATGTCCTGTTAAAAGTCAAATTCTAGAACCTACACTAAGTTAAATAAAGCAATAACAAGTGGCTTGGGCAATTATGGAGCAATAAATTAATAATAATTCCAGAAAGAAAATGCAGTGGTTGATCAATTAACGATGTATTGATGGAGAACATCAATCAATTTCTCAGCATCACCGCAATGTCATTTGAACCAAAAATTATTTTAATTTTATGAAATTAAATTAATCGGGAATGGCTTATTTAAAATATATGATGTTTGGACAGTTTTATTATTTTTCTAGTTATTTTTATTATTCTATAATTAATGTATGATTTTTTTTAAACATCTGGATAATAATGGGTTGTGGATTAGACTTAAAGATCCAGTTAATGCTGTAAATAGATACTTAAAGTTTGGATTATCATTCTACGAAAGATGATGACATTTCCATGATTAACTCTGTTGTTTGTTGGTTAGCTCAGCCTTTTTCTCTTCCCCATTCAAATAGAATAGTCTCCTTCCTTTCTTTTCTTATCTCCCATGAACATCATAATTAACTTTTTTTTCTTTTTTCAACAACACTCTTCCTCGCACCCACGTGAAATAGCTGCAAAGCACTCTCCATCACTCAGTAGAGTGTCACCTTTACGTTGTGGAAGTCATCAATTCGAGCCTGATTATTCTTAAACCCAATAGGAGTTTTTCTATTTAGACTTGCTCCCCCGCTACAATCGAGTGAGAATGGATAAGAGGCTTGTGGGTTTGACGTGATAGGGTAAGGATGGCTATATTGCTAAGAGCGGCTAATATGAAGCGCATGGATACAAGCCTTCGGCTTTGAAAAGTCATCCTACCTCTCCTCTCACAAACAAGTTAACTTAATAAAACCGCTTTCTCTCTCTCATTGTTATCGAATCTAAATCTCTCCCCTGTGCCAAATAAAACACCTCGAAACTAAGCCTTATTTTTGGTCCACCACCTCCCATCTCCCTTAAACACATCAATTTGACACCCCCATCTCCTCTCTACCAATCTCTATCTCAACTCTCCCAACTTTTCCTCTAACCCAATTTAAGACCAATTTAGCCCCTTATCACCCCTTTCTGATATGAGATGTCATAGGGCCAAATTCTAACTATCCCACTCTCTCCATCTCTATCAACTTTTCTCTCAAACCAAATTTAAGACAAAACAAAATCCCTTATCAACCATTTCTCACCCTTTGAATTTTCTCGAAAACTTCTCTCTTTTTCAAGGACTCTCTTCCTCTTTCCTGTGTGAAACAACAGCAAAGCAATCTCCCATCTCTCTCATGGTAATTCCCCTCTTACAAACAAATTAGGTTAACAAAACCCCTTTCTCTCTCGTATTATTAATGACCCTAAATCTCTCTTCAATGCCTGATAATATAGCCTCCTAAGCCTTATAGCATTTGAGCAGCCTCTTACACCATTCCAAAACATCTTCTTGATACCTACATACTCTCTATCTACCGCTTTCTCTCTCTCCTCTCTCAACATCTCTCTTTAACGCAATTTAAGACCAAATTGAGCTGGTTCTCACCCCTTGATGGTGCAGGAAATCTCAAAGTCAAGGACTGCAAAAAGAAAAACACAAATGTTCAACATAATTCATAGTTTTCCAACTCTTCACTTGAGTGAAATTTAATATTTTTAATGCAAAATAAAAAGTAAGTTCAATCGCTCCAACTAATAATTTGAAAGTCATCAAATCTAGAATTTTGCAAATTTAAAAATGACTGAAAACCATAAAGCAGTTCAAGATTCACCACAACAAAAAAAGAAAATCAACATCTAGCAAACTCAAACAAATCTCAATCACGCACACAATCAATTACAGATTTTATATGAAAAGATCAGGGACATAAGCCATCAACAAGAAGAACCATACATCACTCCGATAGAAGAAGAAACATCTGCCAATAGTTGTTGCCAAAACTTACATCACGCAAGAACTTGCATCCAACCATCACACACAAATTTGAATAAAAATAAAAATAGTATTCAGTAATTCATGCAAGAATATATGCCTTAGGTCATAACCCAAAAGGCCAAACGGATTATTTTTATAAAATTCTCCCAGATTTGGTAAAAAAAATGCAAGTTTCAGTTCCCAATTTCAAACAAAGAACTAAAATCCACATTCAGGTTTGGGTCAACTAAAAAATTTTGGGTTCGGATCAACCCATTTGTTATACGGGTCGGATTCGGGTTCGAGTTTTCAACCCGTTTGTAAAATCGGGTCAGGTTCGTGTTGACCGGAAAACCCGAAATCAACCCGTTTTGACCCGGGAATGTGACCGTCTATTGCCGACTGCCGCCCCTCCCGCAAACGGCAAACCGAGTCTGCCTTGCTCCAATCGAACGAAAGTCACTCCGAGAGCTCGCCTACCTCACATCAGTCCAGCCATCCTGCAGTCACGTCAGGCCATCTATCCGCCACTCGAGAGTCGAGTCATAAATGCTTGCAATTAAGACTTTATTTAGCGTATTAATTAAGGCGCATAAAATAAGAGATGAAGAGAAGGGAGCTGTTGGATGCACCGCTGGAATTGATGGAGAAGAAAATAGAGATCTTTGTCTCTTAAATCTAGACGGTTGATTGGGGGGCAGGACCCATGCAGAAATTCTATCTTTAGAAGCGGTTAAGCAGTGGAAAAAGCATTATAATAATGGTCTTAATGAGTAATTAAAGTAGGTTGTTTATGCCAATTCCACTTCTACTATTTCGTTTTTAGTGCCATCCAATAATTTTATTATTATTATTAGTTTTTTCTTCCTATGATAAGAAAGGTTAACAGATAAATCACTAGAAGAATTACATATTTATAATATTTTTGAATCAAAATGGATTTGCGGGTCAGGTCGGGTCAATCCAATAACCCGCACAGGTCCTGTCCGGGTTGAAATAAGTGCCCGTTTGCAAAAACGGGTTAGACTCGTTTAGACCCGAGTCAACTTAGATTCGACTTCAACCCAAACCCAAACCCAACCCACGGACCCGATTTGACAACCCTAGCCATGGTTGTGTTGTCCAAGGGTACCTTGTGGACCTATGATGAGTATTTGTCTAAAGGGACAAATTTGAATCCACCTTAAATAATAGAGGGCTTTGTACCATATCGATCATATCATATTAATTCATATCTCAAGGATTTAGTGTCATTGGGGAGCATACGGGATCTGGCAGTGACCATAATTTAGTGGTGTCATTTGGCAGCAAGCCATTCGGTTCATAGGGACTCGATCATAACCGTTTACCTGAGGTGCATTTGGCGACAAAACCATCAGTTAGAGGACATGTGTCACGTCCTTGCTGACAAGAGACGAATTAAGAATGAATCATAGTCATATTCTCGACCCGACATTAGTTTTTTGTTAGCTAAAGTGATATTTGAATTTATCCACCTCAACAAACTGTTGCAGAGGGTGGATGGGTTTTGTTTTAAGTGTTTTGATGTTTTATTTCAATTTTAAATATTTTGATCTTGGATGATTTTGGAATTTTGGATTTTATGGGCATTTGGATGGGGTTTTGAATATTTGAAACTAACCCCTCCGGTTGAGATATACGTTCAACACAACCATCATTGGGGTATCTTAAATAATTTGTATGTTTATCATTTGAACCGTGTCAATTCTGTTCGCCCGCTAATAGAAGATCAGGTTTAATGTAGGTTTTATGTCTTTAACAATGAAACTTTCCCTTAATATACCTTGAAAGCCTAATATGAGTTATAAAACAAAATATACTGGTCAATGCCGTGATTGTATATTTGTTTGACAGTTCGAGCTGTGTCAACTCCTATCCATTCACATAGAAGGATCGGGCCCGGATTTAGATTCATTTCTAGACCCACGCAGCATCCTCAGACGTCACGTGTGTACCCATAACATGCTCGCCGGGGCCCATGCAGGTGTACAATTGTAAATATATTTTCTTGTATTATGCTTACATAATTGCATGTACATTTACACTTTCACCCGTGTGTTATGGCTCTTGCACGTTCACTTCTGTGTTTGTGTGCATACACATTACAATGTATGGTGGGGGTATTTTTGGAATGTTTAACGTCGGTCAGTTGTGCGGGCAACTGTCAATTGAAGGTGCACGACGCTCTATTTGAGAGTTTGCAAACGTCTTTTGTCCGCTTGTATGAGTGACGCGTATTCAATAGCGTGGTGTTGCATTTAAGTGGGAATTTGTAAACATATTTTGCCTGCTTATATTCCTGTTGCGGTGTATGTGTGAGAGCATTTTGCAATATTCAATTATAGCTGGCTATGCAAGTGATTATTGCCGATAGGCATGCAGGATTCTGTCTTGGAACCAGTAGACGTCTTTTGTTCGCTTGTAAGGAGGTTGTGGATCTGGTGACATGGTGTCGCAATACGGGTTGAAAATTGTTTTGGACATGTAGATTATTGCGCACTAACTAATCTCCTTCTATTTTCTTGCATTTGATGTGGCTCTTTTGTATTTGCTTGTGGATAACACTTTGTGTACATGATAGGTCTCCTACGACGGTTTGTAGGCATTTGCATTTGCTGCATATCACCTCCATGCTTACAATGGATCGACATATTTGTTGGTCATTGAATGGTGATTAATTGTAAGGGTGTTGTGACATCCACAACTTATTGATTATCACCCGTATATGTATATTACTATGCATATGATGCGCCTTCCATCATTTTTAGTGGACACTCACATCCATCATGATCTTCCATCTCTTGTCTGTAGAGGGTCCGTCACATTCACCCTCATCATTTGTAGATAGGATCATTATATGAATGAAGGGTCTTCTACAGCGGCTTGTAGGGGCTCATATGCTTCACAAGTGTATTATCTTTTCTTGTATGAAATATGCAACGTGCATTGCAACCCGTTGCATTTGATATATATCATTCTTGCTTCATCAATGAGTATCCCTATCAACTT